AAGATGATTAGAATGAAATTGGCAACCGCGTTATAACAGTTGATGAAACTTGGATTGGTCCGTATGATCACGAGTCCCAACAGGAGTCGATTTAGTGGATAAAAAAACGGAAAAGGTCACCAAAGAATTCAAAGTGGAAAAGTCGGCGGATAGCAAGGGAATATTACTAAAGTCGGCGGATAGCAAGGGAATATTACTAATTGATTACTAGCCAAAGGGAACTACAATTAAAGCCCGGTATTACGCTAATTTGTTGAGTCAGTCCTACAGATGAGGCGTGGCATGTTAGCTCGCGGAGTGCTGTTTCTGTAAGGCAACGCACCCGTTCATACTGCTCAGGCTGCGAGGCATGCCTTAAAAGCAACTAGATTTACAGAGTTCCACTCAGAATCAACTCTACAGTTCGATTCTGGCTCCCAGTAACTTTTTGCTTTTTTTTTTCAAATTTACAAAGGCAGTTGCGGGGAGACAACGATTTTCAAACGACCGTGAGGTGAAAGCGGTATTTTGATTAGAAATCTAAATAATATTTTTTTCAGTGGTATAAAGTAACTGTATTCACGACGTGAGGGAGACTAGTTCGAAAAAAAAAATCATAAAACTAAACATTTATTTCACTGAGCACTTTAGGTAGCGATTTTATCGAGCGCCCCTCGTATATGCAAATGTAGTGATCTTTTATTGTTTGCCAACAACTTTACAATCGACTACATATGTAGGTACTCAAACTGTGTACATGTGTTAATAACACCGCAATTTACATTTGTCTGCATTGCCAATTTCATGCAACAAAAAAAAAAAGGAAAAAACAACAACAACAACAATCATAATGGCGAAATTGTAAAATAAATTTCTTGCTTGAGCATCAGTGCATTTAATTCAAAAAGTACATACTCGTATGTACATTCATACACACTTGCACACATGATGTACGAATATAAAATTAATTAAAAAATGTTTTAAAATAGTCAACAAGATTTTCTTTGTTAAATTACTTTCAAGTGAATGAAGTTTTTTACGCTCTCTTGGTTGTTAACAATAAATTTTCCGGAGTGCAACGGAGCCAGACTGCTCAGGCTAGCGCGTAGAGAAGCTCGCCGAAGAGGGAAAGATGCTGGGTACCACCAGGGGTCTAACCACTGGCCTCGTACAGTTTTACTCCACCGTCATAGTTAAGCCAAATATTGGTGTGGTGGACCGCAGCTAATAAGAACTCATATGGGATACCATTGGAAAGATCACAATGGCTTGCTGCACTGTGCATAACCAAAGCGCTAAGAATCACTCCAACGGCGGCACTTGAAATATTACTTGTCCTACAACCAAACGCAGAGGAGCGCACCGCAGTTAAATCCGGCATGAGAATAATGACCTCAGATAAATTCTACGCCAAAACCTTCTGGACAGCTCGATATATATATGCAGGGGTATGGAGCACAATAGGCTATATATCACCACGTTTGTCTGGAAAGAAAGTTTCAAGCAACTTTCAAGGAAGGTGGATCGTGCAGAAACTTCTTTGCCCGCCTGTGGTACGTACAACATCTGCTTTGATGGATCAAAAATGGCTAATTTGGTGTTCGCCGGAGTTTATCAATCTTCCAGAGTACCGCAGTTCCTTGCGGCGGTGGAGAGAAAACCTTATTTAAAAATCTATATATATGACGACAGCCAGATAGATAGGGAGGTCGAGAGAAATGGCTGCATATATAGTGGATTCCAGACCACATGTTGATTATGGCTGACGAAATAGCTGATGAGATTACTCAAAGTGCCATCCGCTTTGTTAGCGAGCCAGTACAGAATGTACAAAAGTCAGTAAAAACTATCTATTATAAAAAGAAAGAGCTGGCTGCCGGATCGGAGTGAGATGGAACGTGTTACGGATATACAAAACCACTCAGATCGTGTACAAGAGCAGCAAAGGTAACATTAATTTCTTGTTTGTACGTTCACATAAGGGCAGTTGTTGGCCTAAAGACAGGCGTGAGTGTGACGTCCTACGCCGTTTCTGTCCTAACTTAGCAGGAACTCGTCTCATATATCTCAGTGCTTTGCTGTACAATGAAAATGGATAATTGGATTTGAGATTCTCTCGAACTGCGCAAAATACTCTGGCGTCCTATACGTTAATTACTTTAGATCGGAATAAAGTAGACCCCATGACTGCAATGGATGTCTTGAGCAAAGCGCAATAGCTGACTGGTGTAATCAAGAGAACTCAACCCCCTTTGTCGTTGAAGGCTTTCACGCCGGTAATTTATACTTTAATGTACTGATAATATAGTATGTGTCTCCGTTTTGTCGGCAGATGTCGCTCACAGTCATACGACTCTGAGCGCGCTTACCATTATGTTACTGATAGTGTTTGGGAATTTCCACGTAACAACTATAACTACATATGTTATCTGCATAGATTTCCTTTCGAATCTTCCCAGAATCTAATTTGCTATGAGTAGCCACAGGAGTGCGGACAGAACACCAATATTGAGAGTTGCTCCACGTGCTAGCTTGAGGAGTGTGGATTCGTTTCACTCCGCATTAATCTTCCACCAGCTTAGCAGTTTTTTATTCTTTGCTCTTTTTTTGGGTTAGTGGCTGAAGTGTAGCCTCAGTGGATCTACCCTTCGTATCAGTGTGTGGCGGGTTTGCTTTATTGGCCGAAGATATATCTCTATGTAAGCGTCTAGAATCAATCAGTCGTCTGTAGAAGGTAAATTTGTGGCAAGCAGGAACTTCGTAGTAGAGTCATAATAACTTTGAAATTTGGGTCTCTTCTCCCTTGACTTGAGAACACCTTGCAAGATATTGAAGGTTGGCTTGTTGATTTCTAGGTCCACAAAGAAGAAGGAAGCAGAAAATTCAGTTCTCACGAAGAAATTTGCTCGAATGGAGTGAAGGTGATCGGCTTCGAAGGGCTCTGAATAAGATTGTCTTTAGAATCTGATTTCAACATAAAACAATCAACTTTAATTCGTAACCGTGTCAATATTTTATAGCTCTGGAAGATATGCGTCGTAGGTGCGAAGTACTTTGAGACGCAATCTTACAAGGCGATGAACAGATACGGCGGCATACTGAATCATAAATACTGATCGTATATATTTAAATATATATTAGGTCAAGTAAAAAGTTCGTTCGGTTTTTTTTTATTGATTTTTCAAAATATGATAACTCTGTGTACATACATTTGCCAACGAGATGCCAACTTCATTATATCCCTCTCGTACAATTCTGCGACCCTATTGGCAACAAACTCGGAGAGCTAATTTTCACAGGCCTCTCTTGAGGCCAACTTCTCACCATTAGGCGTGCTTGCTATAGAAAGGAAAAGATGGTAATCACTTAGTGCCAGGTCCGGACTGGACCGAGCTCCTGGAGTTTCTGGCGCGTCACCAAAGACGCATGTGGTCTGGCGTTGTCGTGATGGAACACAATTCGGCCTCTTCTGGATGAGTGCTGCCCTCAAGCGGTCCACTTGTTGGCAGTAGAGGGTCGAATTGGGCGTTTGGTTATAGGGGAGTAGCTCATAGTAAATTATTCCATTGCAATCCCACCAAACACACAGCAAAACCTGATGCATCTTTGACATCGAAATTACCGGAACAGAACCTAGCAAACCACTTTAGTGCTACACGTTCGTTTACGGTATCGGACCCATAAAATAAATTAATTTTTTCAGTCGCTTTGGCTGCTGTTCGCCTTGATCGAAGAAAAATTTTAAAATATAGCGAATTTTCTCTTGGCTGGTGTTCATCTGAGGCAATGAATCGAGAAACTGTCAAAGACAAACTTTAACCACGAATAAACACGTTTTCAGCGCCGCACGTAACACTAGTACTATGGACAGTAACGTCATCTTTTAGATAAAAACCGAACGAACTTGGTCTAATATTTATGTGGAATAGAGGTTTCATTGTTGCACCAAGTGGTGGGATCCGATCCGCTGGTTTCTCAGCTGAGTTAAATTGTTGGCGAAACGATGACAAAGTACTTCAAACGGCTCCTATGCTGAGTGTAGCCCGATGAAATCGTAACTGCTTCACGAGATCCCATCATTAGGTGTAGTAAAAGGAGACCAATTATTTTTGCATGAAATTTATGGCTTTAATTTTTACTCTTCGTATCCAGCCTTATTTCAATGATGGTTCCAAACGTTTTTTTTTTTAGCTCTTAGGCAATTGAAACAGTGCCTACATGGCGATCGAACTCGAAAATGTGCATGATTTTATCGACATTTTCGACAATTGACCTTCCACTCTGTGAAGCATCTTTTACATCAAAATTACCGGAATGAAACCGAAACTCTGCATGATTGAATATCACAGTATCAGCAAGGACTCCAGAGACAACCATAGTATGAGGACCATAAACGCTATTCACAGTTTTAACCGACTAGTTTGCGTCATCGCCCTTAATGAAGAAATACTGTAATATAGCGTATTTTCTCTTTGCTGGTGTCCATATTTGACGCACGCTCAAACAAGACTGAATCAACCAATCACAAAACTGTCAAAAAAACTTCTTTAGAACAAAATGTCATCTTTCCAACGCCATCTAGCGGAACCGGATCGGACTTATACAACGCGAGATATAGATAAATAACGCTATATGTTTGAAAAATAATGGATTTATTTTTACTACACCTCATATACAATAATAAGTATGTATAAGTATCCTAAATCAATACATCATATCCAACAAAACAACTGTAATGACATAATTACGTTGTAACTTACCTCAATTGGAAAAACAATGAATAAACGCATTAATTTAATACAATTGTTTGAAGAGCTACCTCATGATGTGATGTCACATCACATGCAGTCATCATCTTCATAGTCACCGCTTTGGTCATTATTATAAAAATTCTTATATTAGATCATGATATCTTCTCTCAGCTGAGCTATTCATGTATTTTTGAGAAATTTCAGTTCAAAATTCGTTAAAATATTTCATCACATTTATTAAAAAACAATTTCCAAAAAATATCGGTCAAAACATATAATAAATTAAACGCAAAAAAATATTAATATATAATTTACAAAAATCGCTAAAATCACACTAAACACTCTGCACCTCTTCCAAAGTGTACTTGGCGGCAATGTCATCATTATCTGGAAAATCTATCGCAGGCGTCACCAGCCGCTCGGGTTGTATACTGCGACCCAAAGCATACGGCGGCCGGGCGGCAGTCTTTACATAAAATGTGCCACGCTTCGGCGTAGAAGGCTCACCACCCATAATAAACTCTGCGCCCGACTCGGATATAATCCAAACATCATCTGCTTGCCGACGGCACAGCGTACCCCAAAAGCCCAGTTTACTAGTGATCGATTCGGCAAAATAATGATAGGCACGCCGATGTGAACAACCATAAAAATAACACTTTTTCTGATCACGACCATAATTCGGATAGAAAGTGGCATGACCAACGGGTTCCTCAAAACCCAAACTACTGCTCGTTTGTATGGACTCCACATAGTCGGCATCAGTGGGGTCGACACGATATTCATCGCTTAAGTCGCGAAATTTCGGACCCGCTGGATCCAGCGCATAAATCGTATTGAAACGGTGTGGGAACGCCTGCTTGCCAGCGCTGCCGGCTATTTGTGCACCCAGTGAGTGACCGATTAAGTAGACATCATTGTAGTTGAGGCCGGTGCGTAGGTGTAAAAAATTCGTAAAATCCACAAGTAAGCGACCAAGATCCTCAACCATATCGACAACGCTGTAGTAATTGACATTCGATGCGATCACACTCCAATCGCAGACGATGACATTGAAGTCAGTCGGCTTGTCATTGTTTGTGGCATTCATGTTCAACCGATAACCGGTGTCCAAATCAATGTCAATTTTATTGTTGTTTCTGAAGTCATTCTCAATTGCTGACGGACTGTCTGTTGTGTGGTGCTCATAAGGTGATGCATCTGAAAGACTACCGCCAGCTGGCTGTGGCACGCGTTTGACTAGACTGAGATAAGCATTTTTGACGGCACGATTCAAGGCGCCCTTACTCTGACTCATCCAGCCATGTATGATGATTCTGCAAGAGAGCGGAGAGTGTAAGAAAAGGGAGATAATTAAAGTCATTATTATTTCTTGTATTTTTATGGTGTGGATTCAAAGCAATTATGAAGAACTCTTTATTTATCGATAAAATGTGTTTGGTGGAGAATTATAAGGAAATTTAATGAAAAGCTTATTTTAGTCATATGGCGTTTTTTTTTACATACAAATTTGAAGTATTTTCTGCGAAGAGTTTGGCAAGCAGAAATTGATTATTTGTCAATGAGTCATGAAAGTTGTGTGGCATATCTGCAGCTGAATCTATAATGAGTGGTTTTCTTTATTGCTACCCACATATATACATATATAAAAATATACACATATGTACATTAATATCTACATACAACAAGGCGTTTTAGCGAATTTTGTTTGCGAAAATTTCGACCTCAAAAATAACGATAAATATTTATTGTGCTCTTAAATACTCATGATATACACTGTTGTTGTTGTTGTTGTTGTTGTTGCTGTTGTTGTTCTTGTTGCTGTTGTTATTGTTTTTATTGTTATTAATCTTTGTTTGCGGAAATTAGCTCATTTTCTTTTTTATTTGCATTTTTCTGACATATCATATTATATGGTACATAACTAGTAAGGAAGACTAAGTGCAGGTGGGACCGGAATGAATTACTTGGCTGAAAAATCCCCACGATTTTTGTTTTTCTCATTTTTTTTTTTAATATTTTTCTATGACCTTTCATAATTCCATCATTCTGTGGTTTACCGAAGGTAGTTTTTTAAAGATACAGAAACAAATGGCAATCAGATGGGGCAAGGTCCCTGCTATATGTTCAATGTTTCAAAACTTCTTACCAAGTTCCGGCAATTTTTACTTAGTCATCAGAGATGTACTCGTATGTATGTGCTTTGGCGCTGTCATGATGAAGTACAACAACTAAACTTTTGATCAATTTTGGGTGATTGAAATTAAAGAGTTTATCGTAACTGATGACTGTAGAGCTCATTACTGATCGTTTGGCCAGAAAAAATCCATTCTAATCTCACCAATGAATGTACAGTGTCTCATTAGCCACCAATTTAAGCCTGATAGAAGGTCACCGGATTTTTACCATGATTTTTATGGTTTTACATTCTCGTATCGCCGCCAGAAGTTGCTTCAAAAATGGTTCGATTTTGTCGCGTCTCAGCAGTGTTTCATTTGACAGCCAAACATAGAGTTTCTTCGAGCAGCCAGCTTTTTTGAATCGAAACCAAACCAAACTGTCTCGTAAGTTATGCCTAATGTCTTCGCTACCTACTGATAGCTTGCATCTCCGCTCTCGCTCTACCAGCTGTTGAATTTCATAAAATTTTTTGAGTTATTGCCCGACTTGAAGGAGATTCTGCTTTCAGAACAAAATTTTCGGAAAAACATCGAGCAAATCACTTCTGAGTCTGATGTTTCCACATCGAACTCACCAAAAGCCCCAGAAATTGAAAGATAGGCTTGTTTGTGAACCCATTTAAGTTTTTATTTTTGCAATATTGGACATGGGCCGAGGTATCAGTTGTTGATATCATTCACACTTCTGCGCCGTATAGTGGGTCGTGCCTGCCATTCACCTGGAAGTGGCCAGAAACGATTCTTTTGCATATGATTCAAGCAGCTCACGACTTCCAATCTTAGACAAAGTATCCTCTGTGTAGTCAACAACATCCGTTTGGAGGCGAGCTAAGGAGAGAAAGCGAATGCCGTCAAGTTGTGTGTAAGGTTTGGGACCCAACACATAAAAAAACCAACTCAAAAAAAAGCAATATATGCCCTGGATGAGAGAACTATCTCAGCTGACATTACCGGCGTCCAAAAAGTGCGATGGATGGAACAAGAACGGAAGAAAGTGGATTCTTACGAAAATTACTACAGAGGCCAAATAAAAGAGCGCAACTTGTTTATAATTGGTATAAATTCGAGATGAAAATTGAAATTAGTTACGATAATAGAGTTAGTATTCAAGTTCTAAGTGAAGAAGTTAAGTTTCAGGTTGAGATTGCCAATTTGTTGGGATGTTCGCGGTGCGCGGTCCAATGTGCTATCAGGCGATGTGTGTAGACGAAATCACACAATAATAGATCAAAAAGTGGGTGAAAGCGTCTAACCAGTAAACGAGAAGACCGAATACTTATACGCGAGTCTCTCAAGGATTGCAAAAAATCTTCTTCTGCACTTGCAGCTGCTCTTTTGGGTGAATTTAATAAACCAGTTAGTGCTCAAACAGCTAGAAGAAGACTTCTGGAAGCAGGTTTAAAAGGATGTAAAGCCCAAAAGAAGCCGTGGCTCGCAGAAAAGAATAGGAAAAATCGTTTGGAATGGGCTCGCCGATACTAACATTTCACGCAAGATGATTGGTCGATGAATCAAACTACGAGGTAAGCTTAGTTAAGATCGTCTTAAAGTATTAACAGCCATAGCTTCTTACCCTAGAGCAATTTTGAAGACCTAATACAAATCTTATGAAAGCATTATTTCTTATTTTCTGCAGATATTTGGAACACCTGGTGTGACGTTCGTGAGGCGTCGGGGAAGGTTGGGGAAGAATATCAACCAGATTGCGTGGTACCCACTGTTAAGCATGGAGGAGAGAGCATTATGATCTGGGGCTGCATGGCTGCTGATAGTCTGGGCGAAATGTTCGTTTGTGAGGGTCGCACGGACAGTCAAAAGTATATGAATGTATTAGAAGCTGTTCTTTTCTGCCTTCGTTAATGCGCATTTTCGGCGGTACTAATTTAGACGGGGTTCAATTTCAGCAAGACAATGCTCCTTGTCGCAAATCAGCGACTACGATGCGTTGGTTTAGAGATCAAAACATTGTTTTGCTAGATTGGCCTGCAGAGTATCCAGATCTTAATCCCATTTGGGCATTTTTGCAACTTAAGATTAAGGAGCATAGTATGACATCAAAACCTGCCTTAAAGAATAACTTAATTAACGAGTGGTAAGCTATAAATGCGGACGAATGTGCAAAGCTTGTACACAGCATGCCTAAAAGAGTTGCTGCCATTATTAAATCGAAGGTTGGACCGGCTAAATATTAATGTTATTATCTCTAATTCATTGTATTTTCACTGTTTTACTAATAAAACTTTATTACTTCCGTTGTTAATACAAAAAATTCAGTAATTAGTCGGGTGCTTAATACTTTTAGCCGCGGCTGTATATACCACCCATTTCGTGGACTAAAAAAACGCCTCATCGAACAAACCTAATATAATTTAAGCAAATAGTATAGCCGGGTATAAAGCAAAATATTGGCGGTTGCTCGCCTCATTCAACTAACTACCGTTATAGATTAACAAGTGCATTGTTTCGTTTTGCTATTGAAAAAGAGCTTTGTATGATAATTGTTTCAAAATTGGCTAATTTATTTTTTGCTCAAATAAACACCTCACAATTAAACACGTCCATTCATAATCAATGCGTTATGATACAAATGCTAATCACATTCCGCGAATTTATTCCATTGATGACACAATTAAATCTATTTTTTCCACTTTGTATACAGATTATACATATGTACTCGTATGTTTGTCATTTTAATTGCTTACAAAGTGTCAATTAATTATTCAAAAATATTTTAATTGCGCGAATCCGTTTATGTATGTGTCACATGCGACTTAGTAGCGGTGAGAAATGCTTTAATTAATTATATAAAAGCTTTTACTTTTGTTTGTTGTTTGGCGGTTTTGATTTCATAAATTCATTACGGTGTTTCTTCACAAAGTTTACGTGTAGTTTGCAACATTCCCCCGCCAATAGTTTGTCTCCACAGGCAAAAATTTCATATTTCTGTGGGTACTGCATCGAGTACTTTCAAAGGTGGGGTGCGCTCATCTCCATTCGGACGACATGACTAAGACAGCTTAATCGCTAAGAAACGTCAGTGTCGCCGTAGATCTCATGCAGCTCATCGTTTCGTCCACCAATTGCAAAGAATCATAAAGCGTTCCCAAAACCTTTCGCACAAAAAATCCCAGGGCGGATTGATGTCGTATTTATCAAACCTTCTGCTTCATATATCAGGTGTACAACTTTGCTTCCGCCGTTTTTTTTTTTTCCAAAATTAAAAGCTTTATTGCGAAAAAGTGCTTACAGATATATTATTCAAAGTATTGTTTTTCGCTAGCGACAACTTTCTCCCATCTTTCCGGCAAATTTTCGGATCCCGACTCGAAAAAAGGAGTCCTCTTTTGACGCTATCCATGAAGCAATCCATTTTTCCAATTTTTCGAAGGACTGAAAATGTTAATTTGCCAGGCCGTGTGCCATCGAACGCAATAGGTGGGAGTCAGAAGCGGCTACATCTGGGGAATCTATATATAATTGGCGGCTTGTAACCGCTGAAGCGAATTTTTCGGTCCTCTAATTTGTGGTTTTGTGTCTTGAAGTTTTTCCTACAAACGGTAACACCTACAGTTTATACTAAGCCGCCTCTGAACCGCTGAGGTTGTTTTACGAGGAGTCTTTGTTTCATGTCCAAATTACGCTCGGAGGGTTGGACATTCACTGCCGAACGGCGACCGCAATTAAAAAATTTAACTTAATTTTTTATTTAAATTGATTTTCAAAAACCCGAAGCCTTCCGAATGCCAGTACGCAATGCTATCCTCAGCTATCGCGGCCGCCCGCATCATAAAAAGGGTGCAAATGCGAAAGTACTTGAGGAGTTTAGATTTTGTTCGTCGAGAGAGTACTTTGCTTTAGAATTGTCTACGCAGTCCAAAGTCGCAACACTTGGCAAGACTGATTTTTTTCAATTGCCTACTCAGCGTCTAAACTCACGAGGCTCAATTGGTGAAGCTATCAAGCAAGGATTGCAAAAAATAGCTGGTGGTAATTTTTGATAGCAAATTGATGTGGAAACTAAAGATAGAGGGAAGGATGTGGTGGACCACTGCCAACAATATCTCGTATAGAAAACCGTTAAAGCGATTACCGCGGCTCGCTGCACGGTTCAACGGCGGCACTAGACCTAATCGACATCGCAGTGAGGAGCACTGTAGAGAGGTGAACTCGAAACATGGTATTTTTTGGAAATTAGTATCCAACTCATATCTTTGGGTCCTACATGGATATCTGTCGCTCTGGAAACTTTCTGTTAGTCGTCGCTTTCTTCTAGAAGTTTCGAGCATTAACCCTGTCGTCAAGCTTATCAGGCTCTATATATATTCCTTTATATTGGTCTCTTTCTCAAACTGTCTGCCTTCCTCTTTAATTCTATCTTATTCGAAATAGACAGTCTGTTTTCATTTAATCGCAGCTCGATAATCTTCATCATACTAGTTCTCCTTCAGACATTTTTGAGAACTATTATAGCCGAATATTGTTGCACAGACCACAATATTTCGAAGCTGGCGAAGTCGACTAGCCTCACTTGCCGCAAAAAGTAATATATAATAAACTCCCATATGTATAAGGATCACCCTAATATATTCAACATTTAAGCATTTTAATTACGTCATATTCACTCGATGAACGATTGACTTGGTTGTTGCGTTTTGTTGGAAAGTTCTACATATTTGATTTTGTAATTTCAATCAAACTGCCGTCAATCTCCCCGCCTTACCTTGTTGGGTGCTCTGGATTGAAATCAGACATATCCAAAGTGTTATGATCGTCGGTAATGATCTCACGACCGCATTCTGCAAAGTCACGTTTATATAAGTAGAACTGCATTTTAACGCGTGCCGAACTGGTGAAGGGTATTAAATGTTTGAAAAAATGCTTTAAGAATGTCGAATCAAAGTGACGGCCAAAAAAACTGCTTGGCCTGCGCAACGTATGACCGCACACATCGCGTAATGAGCTGGTATGTGGCGCACTATGCGTTGGAGGAACTGAAAATATAAGAAGAAAAATTATTAAATATTTAAAGCGGCAAGAGTATGAGTGGAAAGATGAAAGACGAATATTCCCAAGGCCCTAAATATAAGACTATCCTCTCATGGTCAAGGTGGGGTCGTGAGTGATAACTTTTCGTTTTGACGTTTTGTATGCTTTTTCCCACAGATGTCAAGAGTTGGATCTTAAAGGGAGACCCTTCAATATTAAGCAAGCACTGATTTAAAGCGCTTTATGGCCTTTGTAGGGATTGATTAAGAAAGAGCTTTTAGAAGTAAATTTGGAAACTCAATTATTTTGCACGTACGTGTCGTTTGATTAGGTTTGAAGTATACAGCATGATTTCATTGGAAATAGATTCTAACAAGTGTTTGCTATTTAATGGCTCAGACAACAAATCTTTTGCGACGGTACTGCACAAAGGGTAGGACGAGCTCCTGTTTTTAGCTAAGGTTTGCTCGCCGGATGACGGCATCCTGCACAAAAATTAATAGATGGACTTCGCAGCTCCTTTTATGGAGGAGTAGATCATCACCTGCTCTAAGTAATTATTTACTATATCAGAGAAATAGGAGAGTAATACCACAGCCTGAAGTTCCGTTAAAAGCGCTTCACCCTGATATTCTCAGAGCGGGAATAGTTTCTTACCACCTTTAAAGGTCTACTCTAGAATAAAATAGGAGAGTTTGTTGTTCTTAAAATAAGTGTTGCGCTTCAGTGGAATCCTTTATATTCAAGAGATTTATATTGATAGATCGAAACTTTATCTACCTTTAGAGCTCTCTTTTAGGCAAGCCCATTGCAGTTCGAGTTGAAATTTTAGCCATTATGAAGGCAGATTACTACATTGGATCTGAACACACGAGCAAGGATATCTTTATTTTCAGCGACAGTCAGGCAGCGATTATGTCGCAGATTACATTTAACTTGGATTCCTGGTCGCAGGGAATCGGAGGCCATCTAACTGGAGGTCCTGGAAAGCAGCTGTTTCGAAGGGTTCGACCTGGCGGGAAGGGAAGGAGGAGAAAGTACTCTTGCTTGCAAAGACGTCGTTAGTGCCGTGCGAAAGGTAGGAGCTCAGCTGAATATACAATAGTAATAAGACCTGAGCAGTATATAAGGTTACTCCAACCATTGGTTGCTTCTAACCGAAATGGAAGAATGGTGGAGTCATTTCTGGTACATGTAGGAGAAGTGTTCCATGTCAGCCCTGAAGAGAGGGATTTGGAGCATCCCAGCTGCGAGGTGCTGTGATTAGACTAATGATACCTGTTGACCTAAACGGGGTAAGGTCGCCGAAAGGGGGACAGTCCTTGGTCGGATAAAATACGGGTCAACAACGGTGCATAGATCCGACTGACCTTCTAAACGAATGGCTTTTTTGAATGATGAGTTGCATCACCTCAACCCAAACTACATGTATCCTTCTTTTTAGGGCTTTCTACTACTTAAGACTAACTAATGTTGTTACATACCATGTTTAAGTAGTATCACTAACGAAATTAGAGCAACAAGAACAGTACGCCTTTGGACTCCACTGCCGGATATATTAAGTGTGGATTTTACGCTGCGCATCTGAATTTGTAAACAAACACACTTCTCACCCGCGGAGCTCAATCCAAGGTATTCAATTAATATGCGCTGGTTGACTAGCAAACAAGAAAACAATAATAACACACACTAGCAGGCAAAGTCGGTACTCGTCTGTATGCAAAAATATCAACAATAGCAACTCTGTTTAATATTATTGTTGACGTTGACAGTCTTTTGACTCGCGACACACTCATATCACACAATGTTGTTGAACTGAAGCTGTGAACGCGTGCCTCCACCACTACACTTTACTTGTTAACGTTCTCAACTCGATCTACGGACGCTAATATCCAATACTTCACGACTCAGAAAACGGCTAAGCGTCTTGCCAAGCAGTCTGAGCGATTGCCAACGCGTAACTAAACTTCGAAAATATTGTTAAATATCAACTACCCAGCCGCGTAGAGTTGTCACGAGCCGCTGCTGATCTTGTGGATCAGCTGTTGAACTCATAATTTTTGCTACTTAAACAAACCGGCTGATGGGTAAAGTAATTGTGTGAAGTGTGTACGTCAAGCCCTTTTTTGCGGAGAGAGAGAGAAAGAGCGTGAGAGGGAGGTAAAGGGAGAGAGGGAGAGTGAGAGAGAGGAACAGGTAGAGCAAGAGAGCGGTATAGTGTGAGGAACACAGCGAGGGCTTGCAAATATGTATATAAATATGTCATTATGAATATTCTTACGACTGAATGCATTTGGGTGCCCTACTAAGCTGTGAATGAATATGTAAATAACATAAAATGTTTGGCTAAAATAACAGGAATGCTGAAATCATACTTTTATATGTATGTATGTCTATTTAACTCTTTCTTTTTATATATGCAAGTAATTTACTTATTTTATTATCATTTGGCTGGAGATTATGGATGAAACTTTGTAATAAGAGAGAAACCTCTAAACAGCTGAAGTATCCGCTCCATACCTTTTTTTGATAAACAGTCCATTTACCACTTAGGAGTTACGTGCTCCGGTAGTTTACGTGAAGAATTTAACAAACGAGGGAGTGGAACTGCAAGTAAGTGTATAACTCGAACACCGATAGTGCTCTTGACGAGCTTGCCAAAGTTAGTAGAGTAGTGATATGGAGAGTTTCGGTAGCTAAAGAAGATCCAGCTGCGAGATCCAGTAATTAACCATGCGTCACATTCTGGAAAATACCCCAGCAAAAGTAATAGATACACATGATCTTCTCGTCGATATTAAATCTGTTTCCAACAACTGACATAGGAGTTGCCTCTACGTCACAATGTCTGAATTTGGTAATGCCACATATATGTATTTATGGTTGGATTAACAAAAGTTTGATCCTAATCTTTGACCCTGTTTACCTTCCCTACATAATCGCAATTGATTTCAATGGATTGCTTAAGCCTAAAGATCCACTTCTGAAAACAGCCTACAAAATCTTGCTTTTTAAGCTTATCAAGTTCAGCATTAATCGCATTAATTATCTCCTCGTTGCTATTAAAGAGATTTCCCTTCAATTTTTTGAAATAACCAGAAATCACAAGGTGCTATATCCGGGGAATATGTTGCTGGACGTATACCTTCGACCCCAGAGATCGCAATAAAATTACTCATTATTTAAGCAGTGTGGAATGGCGCGTTGTCATGATGAAAAAAGTAGCGCTGTAAACTCTCTTTCTTTCTGTTTTTCAACAAATTTTTGAAAACTTTTGGTAAGCACTCTTCGGTGTACCATTTTGCAGTTACCGTTTGACCCTTTTCCAGTGGAGTATCTGCCAAGATTTTAGATCGGGTGAAGTAAACTGACCTCATTACTTTTTCTGCTGATTTTTGTTGCTTAGGTTTTGCGGGTGGGTTTGCTTCTGTTGGGCTCCATACCATGGATTACTGTTTAGTTTTTGGATCGTGCTTATAGAATCCAGATTCGTCACCAGCAGGGACTTGACTAAAATTTCTAAGCAGACAATTTTCGAATTTTTTTTAGGAAAAATTGCACAAAATGCGCTAGACGCTTTTTTTTAGGCCTCATTTAAAATTCGTGGTATCTCGTGTATACCAGATCAAGCTGAATTAATTAGCGATCATTTCTTGTGTCAATAGGGCGCCTTCGTCAAGTTTGGACTTCACCAGTGCCATAGTGACGTCAGAAGTGGAAGTACTGTATTTGGTCGATCTTCTCGGGGCTTGTCCTCTGTGGAAAAATGTCCGGTCTGGAATCTTCGGAGCCAATTAGAATTAGTCTGTCTTTAAAGACGGTGCAATCATTCCATATGCAATTTGGCATTAATTGAATATTGAATGTCAATTACGCCGAATCCCGAAGGGAATCACATGGCGATCTATCCTCAGCTATCTTGCTTTTTCTCATCTCAATTTTAGCCAATCGTTCTAAAATTTGAAATGAAGAGAAATAAAGTAATTGCAAAGACTTTGGTATTTTTGGATTCAACAAAAACAATTTGACAGTCACGAATTGAGCGAACTTTTGTTGATGCCCTCGTGTATAGCAATGTGAACTGAGCAACAGGGACCACGAGAGTAATCAACCGTCCCCGAGAATGTTGGTCATGGAGAAAAACGTGGTTAAAAATTCAAAAGCGTTAATTTTTTTATTTTTAACTTACATTGAGTCATCTATTCTGGGGCCATATAATACACCCTCTGCGGCTTCGGCCACTTTCAAAATACCTACCAACCATTCTGTGCTCTCGCGTGCTCTCATGCGCTCTGCGTTCGGAGGTCGTTACGCGCTATTCATCCTCTTTTACGGCATTTGAATGTATGTGTACGAAAATAATATTCAAAAAGAAATAGATTTTTTGGAAATTCTAATTACAACACGATGGCATTAGGACACTCAAGACTCTCAGCTCAGCAGCAATACATCAGCATCGAACGAAACCTGGAGAAAAAAACCGGATCTCCAAAAAATCTATGCAGAGGTCCTAGAAGAGTACCAAACACTCGACCATATGGAGCGAACGAATGCCCAAGAAATTATACGGGACGGCAAATACTTCTCATTCTATCTGCCACATCACGCAGTAATAAAACCCGATAGCAAAACCACTAAAGTCCGAGTGGTATTCAATGCGTCTAAACTCTCTCACTCAGGTCTCTCCCTAAACGACGTACTGCATACAGGCCCCATACTGCAAAACGATCTTATGCTCGTAATAATCNCCTAATCTGAAATACTCACCCTTTATCCACTGGAATACGTACCTTAATTTCCAATTCCTGTAAAACAAAGAAAATTGAAGGAAAACCGATAAACGAAATTTCCCCTCCTTTCCCGTTAATGTAAAACTAAGCTAAGTACTTTGTTATAAATAATAAGCTTACCGTATTTTTAAGTTCAATCGCTTGCTTACCTCAATACAGTACGTTGGTACATATGTGCGTTATAAAACGAAAAAATAAATATATAAAATAGTGTACTGCATATACGTACTGCATATAAAAGACGTTTTTACTTTAATAAATCAGCATTAATATTTTCAATATTTTTAGACAAAATTAATTTTTTATTCTATTCATCACCGAAAGTTGAATAGATATAACCCTTTAAGCCTGAAGATGGGAGCCTTAGGTAGCAATTCTGTTTTTTCCCCCGTAATGAACGATCTTCGGTTGACTGTAATGCGTACCATCGTGAAATGTAAGCTTTTTAAGCGATTTCCATCATACGGGGGCCGCTTTTTTTTGTCTGAACATTATTCTCTTTCCAGACGAGCACGACGATGGCTTAGTTGCTGAAAAAATTATGAGCTGCGTTGAGGCTCCTATCTGTTTTTCTAACTTTATGGAAAGTTTTGTTCTCTTCAATTAGCGAGACACGTTTTTTTTAATGAAAAGAACTATCAATTTTTTGAAAGAAGCTCTTCTCACTTTTTTCTTGGGAGGTTCTAGCGGAGAGATTCACAACTGGGATATGAGAAGTAGTTGCCTGTTGGCATCATAGCCTGTTGCTTCCTTGTCTTTGCTGTCGAGTCAAAGCTTCGAAGTATGCCGACATTCGTCTTGACGAGACAAATTTAGGAATCACTTTTTTTTGTGTTACTGGGACGTTTAATATTCTCCCAAAGTGGCTTTTAAGCATTGGACTCGCAAGCCAAATAGTGCCGGCCAACAAAAACAGTTAAGAAAACAATAAAGATTACATTAAGCCTGTTGAGAAGTTCAAAGCAATTGACATGCGAGTATAACTTTGCTTATTACAGCAACTTGCCATGAATTATTTAAATTTTTGTTGGGCCAAATCACAATGGCAAAAGATTTTCGAACTCAAAAACTGTTGCAGAAAACTCAATATAATTAATAAAATGTTATTAGTAGTGCCCGAGGCAACCAGCAAGAATATGTGTTTTATTTACAGAATCAAATAAATTAACAAATTCCCCTGTTGTTGCTGTTGACTCGCAATTTCGAATCTTTATTATTGGAAATATTCTCATATGTAGGAGTATTTTATTTACAGCTACAAACACATGTGAATGAAGAAGTGAATTAGTTTCGTTTGTGTATACGGTCCATGAATAGTATAGGCTTATCCATTTCGTGAATTGAAAAGTACAAGGCTGTAGTTTGACCTCTGCCAAGCTTAACTGTCAAACCAGTAATTTTTTTTTTTTGGGTAAAAGTCAGGCATAGGTACATACATATATGAAATTAGATCGCGTAACAATCGCACAGCGCGTTGAAATATTTAACGACTACTAAATACAAAGATGCTAATTCAAACGTGGCCACGTTACGTGCTTGAAGAGGAGATTCCGGTGCAAAGAGTCTACTCAAGCAATTGGTAAAATTTGAAACAAATTAGAAGCGGTTGAATTGATTACAAATATTGTGAGGCCTCTGTTTCATCCGTTTTCACGTTCCACCCCAAAAATCTCTGCTTGACGTGAAATTATAGCCGAAGAGCCCAATATGCCTATTTCTCGACGTCCTCAAGAGCTGGGACTTTCTTATGTTGTTTTTTTTCACCTGCACTTATATGCACCTAAGACCATAAAAAGTCCTGTCAACACAACAACTGAAGCCTGCGGACCATTCACAATGCCGTACTTACGTCGTTTGGGTGCTTGAAAAACAATCAATGGACGGAAAGTGGTTGAACAAAATTTTCTTCAGCGACGAGGTAGAGTTCTCAGGGTTCTGAGAATCAACAATTAATTGTAGAGAGAACATTACACAAAAAATAAAACTTACAGTCTGCTGGGTTCATTGATCTGGAAGTGTGATTGAACCTTACTTCTTTGAAATAGACAATGGCGAGACTGTCACTCTCAGTTCGGAGCATTATGGGAATACGATATTCAACTCTTTTTGGCTTGTTTTTGTAGTATACGTTTCGTAAATATTTGGTTTCAGCAA